GGACGACGGAAATTCTAGATGGATGTGGTTGAGGCAGACGAGAAAGCTTGTGCATAGTATCGGAGTTGGAACGGCGTCATGAATGTAAACTATTGGGATTATGGCATTATCTGCATAGGAGGTTATACCAAGCAGGAGGAGCGCAGTCATTTCCACGAGGGTTGATAGCGCTCACAAAAATAGCGCAATACAGAAGCTTCATCAGGTGCTTTCTATGTACTACACTTGTTGAGTTTACTGAGGATGTCAAACAAGATACTAACGGTCGTATACTCGCTGAATACGATATACGCGGGTCGACGTCAGCAGTGGTCTAAGCTCGAAAGTGGGTTGTCCAAAGAACACCAAGCCTCCCGCACCCTCAGCCATCCCGCTCAAGATGCAGAAACGGGCGCCACCCGCACGATTATGGCCCCCGTGAAGCGCAGAGATCTGGTCTTCGCCGCTATCGCCGTCTTCATCGCCTGGGGGTACCTGACCCATTGGCAGCCGAAGCTGCACTACCTGCCCTACGCCTTCTTCGCCGGAGTACTCGCGACGCTTGCCCTGGGAGCATGGCTCACCTTCACGATCGCCTGGGATACAGACCTACGAAGCGGAGGAAAGGTCGACTATGGGCCGCGCCACGTCGCCTTCGTTGCGCCGGGCAGGTGGAAGGCTGAGCGGGAGGCTTTGGACATGAGGAACATGTATATGATGGAGCCGCTATACCCCGCGTCCTTCATGATATCAGACAGCATCGACGTGCTCATTGGGCTGATACTGCGCGACTTCGTGAAGAGCTGGTACGGCAGTATCAGCAAAAGCCCGACCTTCGTCAACGAGGTGGACAATGCGATACGGGCTGCAATGGGCGAGATCCGGGAACGCATACTGGCGGTAGATATGGTCGAGACAGTCGTGTCGCGCATGATACCTCTCATCACCGATCACTTGCGGGCATCGTACGAGGCAGAGCGCATAGTTCGCGGACGCAAGCTGTCGCGGAACATCACAGATTCTGAGGAGCTTGATCTGGCCATCGCAGCCAAATACAAGGAGGGCCGGTTGCACCCGGCGGCGTCGTTGGCATACTCGAATACCAAGCCTATACAGCAGCAACATCTACGAAGCATCGTCACGCGACTACTGCCAAAGATTATGCCTGCGAACATGTCAACCAGTCCCGCTGTCAATGTACTGATCAAAGAGCTTGTGGCCTGCGCAGTCCTCTCTCCTGTGATGCAGATGCTCGCTGACCCAGACACATGGAACCAGCTTATGGAGGGCTACGTAAGAACTTACCCGCTCATTGTAGACCGTCGCTAACAAGCTCAGGGACGATCATTAATACAGGAAAGGAAAACTGTCCGCAAGATTCGAGCTGCTCTCGATGAACATGCCCCGCCCTCGCCGAAGAACCCCAAGAACGTCCAGTTTCCGAAGCTTGCGCCCGGCGATAACGAACGACGCTTCGAACGTTTCATACGAGCCATTAGGCAGACCAATACTCTGGCAGATGCTAGACGATTTCGCAGCGAAGTGTCAAGCCAATTGCGGAAGGATTCCACGATAGAAGATCAAGACCCTGTCTATCTGCGGCGCCTGGAAACAGCGCGACAAATCTTGGATACAAAGGTCACCAACCTCAGTGCTGGTGGCTCGGTGCGGGCAAAGGTTGCTGCGCAGGAGAAGCCGAAGCACAAGCGTACTTCGTCCAAGTTCGCAAATGCGTCTCTGCGCGAAGTGCTGTACGATGCCTCAGGACTGTCTTGCTTCATGGAGTTCATGGATCAGGCGGACTTGATGCGGCTGGTGCAGTTTTGGATTGTGGTGGACGGTTTTCGCAATCCCCTGGAAGTAGAGACTGAAGAAGCGCCGGACTATATAGGCTCTCTTCCTGCATGGACAGAGTCTGACCGCGCAGACCTGGCGCAGATCTACGACGGATACTTGTCGAACCCGGAGTTGAAGATACTGCCCGAAGCTCGACAAGCGGTCTCTGAGTTTCTCAAAGCCGGGCGGAAGGCGACTCCGCAGCAGTATCATAATGCACGACGTTCTTTACTGCAAGCCCAGACGGCAGCGTACGAACAATTACAAGAACCCTACTTTCGAAGGTTTAAGAAGTCCAATTTGTACTACAAGTGGCTAGCCATGGACGAGGCGGCGAACGCGCAGAACAGCAGTGTGAATACGAGGACTGTAGCGCAAACACTCGACAATTCGTCTGCGGCTGCACCTGCTATGATTCGCACCCAGTCTAGGCAGAAGAGCGCATTGCAGATACCACAAGGGGACTTGCGTCGAGCTGTCGCATCGTCATCAGATCTCAAAAGCCAAGGAGCCGTCAAAAATGCCGAGCCACCTGCACGACGTTCTTTGGATGTACACAGGTCATCATCTGGACGCGCACCTCTTTTCGACGAAGACTACGACTCAGACCCTCTCGCGCACTCGACCGCAAGTCTCAACTCAGACTTTGGTCATGACCGCTCCAATGGCAATAATACGCAGGTCGTCGATGCTATGCAGGCTGCCATCATTGACATAATGGACGAGCCTGAGGGTTCAATATTCTACGAGCCGGGTCTGAAATCGCCACTAGACAGTGTTTCCATGCGAGGATCCGTCGATCTACCACGAGCGTCATCCCCAGCCCCACAAGCACAATTACAACAGAGCAAAGACAGTCTCAAGCCAAGTATAGCGTCGCTTGGCTTGGTAGGTGAGCCCAGAACGCGTGGTGTCTTTGACGATGATCTGTTCGGCGATGAAGAAAGATTCATGGAGGATGAGATCGATGACCCAGTTCCGAGGAGCAAAGCAGAGGAGGAAGAGATCCACGAGGCAGCGCCCGGAGACCTGGGTCTCGCAGAGGCTATCGATGCGCTTACAGCTGATATTGAGCGCCTGGTATCCCAAGAGTCTATCGTCGACTCTCTTACATCAAAAGCTGAGTTGACAAACAACGCTGCAGAATTGAGGATCTTGCGAAAATCGAAAGCCAGCCTTCAGCGTGAGATACAGAGGAAAGAGCTACAGCGTCAGCAGTACATCGTTCAAGAAAGCGACAACAGCTTGTACGGACGCGCGACTGTGTTCATCCAATCGATCATGGTCGGCACGGAGGAAGACGGCAAGGAGTATGCTATGTACGTCATCGAAGTACGACGACGTGCTGGCGACCAGATGCCTGCCGCTACTTGGGTCGTCTCACGACGATACAGCGAGTTCCACGAACTGAACAAAAGGCTCCGCGCCAAATTTCCGCAAGTCCGAAATCTGGAGTTCCCGCGCCGGCAGATGATGCTGAAGCTCCAGAAAGACTTCTTACACAAGAGACGGCTTGGCCTTGAGAAGTATCTAAGGGAACTTCTACTCATCCCAGCTGTATGTCGCAGCCGCGAACTACGCGCCTTCCTCTCACAAGCTGCGATCAGCCCCGCCGATGCCCTGCGAAACCAGGATCCTAACTCCAACGACTTTGTAACCCGCATCTACAACTCAGTTGCCGATGGTATGGAAGAGTTCCTGGGTAACATACCCGTGCTCGATCAACTGTCCGTCGCAGGCCAAAACCTCATATCAGCCGCAACCACCCAGCTTGCCAACACAAACGGCGCAACTGCCCAACCCGGTAACCTTTCATCCTCCGGCGTCCTCGTCGCCGGCGAACCCAACAACGACGCAGAAGCAGAAGCCGAACTCCTCGCCTTCGAAAACAAAGAGCTCGAGCCCTTCGTAAAACCCATCTGCGACATCTTCCTCGAAACGTTCGAACTAAACCGCGAGAACAACTGGCTTCGAGGCCGTGCTGTCGTGGTAGTCTTGCACCAACTCCTCGGCGGCACCATCGAGCGCAAAGTCCGGGAATCTTTCGACAACCTGCTCTCTGAGAACAATATCGTCAAGTACATCGACACGCTGAAGGACAGTATGTGGCCTAACGGCAGGATGAAAGTTGGTGTTGAACGAACCAGCAAAGATAAAGAGAACAGTAGGAAGGCCGCTAGCGAGGTTCTGAGTACCCTTGTGCCGGAGTTGGCGAGCAGTGTTGTGGGGAGACAAAATTCGCAGTTGGCGGCGAAGAAGATTGAGGGGACTATTAATAATACCCGGTTGAAGTAAGTTTACGGAATGGTTCTTGGGTGGATGATGCTAACGAGGATGCAGCACGCATATTGCCTTTACGCTTCTGGACGAGATGGTGCAGGTTCTGTTTCCGGATGTTGGGACGAAGTAATGTGGGAATGAGAAGAAATAGTGTGGGGAGGTGTTGCATAGCTGGCGTTCTCGTAAGTATATTTGACTATCATGGCGCAGTTATGGATCTATTCGATACTGTGTTTCTTTCTCGTTCTCTTTGATTGGTCTCTTCGCGGACCATCCTTGCTCTCTTTTCCAATGCTCACCGGAGCCACTTATCTGCTCCTTTCTTTTATGAATATCATTGCGTCAGTTTGCAGTGTCTGCTTGTACATGCTGCAAGGCTGGAACATTGAAACGCTGGAATTGGCTGATGTAGGGGCCCGCATGCAGATGCAGTATGCGAGCATGTTTGTTTGTCTTTGAATGGTGCCCGCTGTCGCACCGCTTTTGCACCGCTTTTCTAAGAACGTCGATATCTCACCTTCACCTCTCATCGACGCGCACAATTTTGGCTAGCGTCCCCACAGACGCTACAGCGAGTCGCTCCTTCCTTACGAGGACAAAATTTACACGACCTTCACAGCGACACGCACTTTCGCAAATCTCGCTCGAACCTACGTTTGACCTCACTCACCATGTGGGAACGTGGCGGCGGACGCAACACTCGCGGCGGACGTGGCGGAAGAGGCCGCGGTCGAGGACGTGGTCGTGGTGGCAACGCCCAAAGCAGATACGACAGCAACACTCAGAATGGCTATAGACCAACAGCACCCTCAAGAGTGGAGGAGACATCAGAGCAGCAACAGGCGAGGGCGTCGTACAACGCATGGAGGCGCCGGCTCGGTGAGGCTGAGACTAATCCGGCAACCATGCGACGTCTCTGGGAAGGCGCGTTTGGTATCCTCGAAGCTGGAGATCGAGACTGGCGCCAACGACTTCCGCAGGATCTTGATTCCGACAAGGACAATGAGAGTGGTCGTCGCCATATCCTCGCTATTCTGAAGTCAAAGGTCGTCGGTTCCGACTACGACACATTCCTTGAGAATGCGCGCCATTTCCTTCTGACGCTTACGCATTCCTCCCTCCTTCGATGTCTCGCGGTCGACACACACGTTGGATCTATCTACAACCTCTTTGGAGGGGTCGGTGGAGGTAGAGCAGTAGAGTATCTACAGCGGGTTTGCAAAGCTCTATCGTCAGCCCTAGCAGCCTCTTCGTCATCCACGAAAGACCACGGAACGACGCTTCTTGCAATGACGATGGCTCTATTTGAGCTGTTGAGGCGTGAGCGTCGAATGCGGATCAACGACGCGATCATACCGCTGGTGGACTCTATCCAGGTTGTAAGCGACATCTACAAGGACTTGGCATCGCCAGATATCTCAACACGGACAACCAATCGCCTCAATGATATTCGCGCCCTGGTAGCTAGAGTTCAAGGACTCCTTGCTGCCCCCACGGGTGAAGATGAGAGTGGAGACGACGACGATATTGGCGGCAACGTATCCTTCTACCCAAGAGACCTGATAGTACCTTCAGGTCGATTCGACAACGATAAAAAGGACATTGGCGACCTGATAATCTTCCCGACCCGGGATGAAATCATGAGCGATGCGAAGGAGTTCCTTCCCTATACCGATCCTGACCAGCCACACTTCCTTGAGGATCCAGTGGAACGCCACATTGATACCTACTTCCGCCTACTGCGCCACGATATCTTTGGTGAGCTTAAGGGCTCCCTTGCTGGAATCATGCACACAGTATCTCAAGACACCAACGCAATGTTCCACCCTAATCTTAATCTCGGTGATACGCGCGCCAATCAGTACGCCAACGCTCGCATTGGCTACGTCACCTTTGACAAGCGGAAGGGGTTGCAGGCTTCGATCGGGTTTCTACAGCCGACGGCTGTGCGTAGGAAGTTGCCTGCACAGAAGGAGAAGTGGTGGGAGGAGTCGAGGCGATTCGACGAAGGATCGCTTTTGTCCTTCATATGGACCCAGAACTCTACCGTTCAACACGTCTTCCTCACTGTCTCGGATAAGACCACCGATTCGAATCGGGAATTTGGATTGACACACGATAACCAGATGGCCTATGTCATGGCAAGCTTGGTGACTCAAGATAAGGCAACGGTCACGATGCTCATGCAAGCCAATATCGGAGCGGTTCATGGCGTCCTACTTGAGTTCCCGAAAGTTATGCCAGCTACCTTCCTGCCTACTTTGGAGAGTTTACAAGCGATGCATCGACTGAGCCGGCTGCCGTTTCGGCAATGGATCGTTCCAGAAAAGCACAAAGGTCCTTTAGCTACACGTAGGATGCAAGAAATCCCCCCGCCTTTGTACGCGCGGACTCTTGGCTTCAAGTTTCCCGTGGACACTCTCTTGAAGAACAAGAGCGAGGAGCCTTTCTCGATCGAACCGACTTCATCATGCGACGATACCGACATTCTCAACAAGCTTGAGCAGAGGACACAACTTGACCGTGGACAGTGTCGCGCACTGATTGCTGCGTTGACCCGCGAGTTCGCCTTCATCCAAGGACCACCGGGAACGGGAAAGAGCTATCTAGGCCTCCAAATTATGCGGATATTGCTGGACATCAAAGAAAAGGCTGATCTTGGGCCTATACTCATCGTATGCTACACGAACCACGCTTTGGATCAGTTCCTCGAACACCTACTGGACATCGGGGTCCAAAAGCTCATTCGCGTCGGAGGCATGAGTAAGTCCAAAAAGCTTCTCAATCATAATCTTCGTACTGTCGGCGATTCCGAGACAAAGACAAAGTCCGAGAATCATATGGCGGCGAAGTGCTACCAAGCTCAAGAAGATAATGCGAAGGAGGCAGGGCCGATCTTCGCTGGTCTCCAAGGCTTACGAAAGAATGCGCACTGGCATAACCTCAAAGGTCATATTCTCGAAGAGTACCCAATGATCTACAGTCAGTTCAGTCGTTTCGATGGTGAAGGCTATGAGGTGGTTGGTCGTCACCCGTTTGATATGTGGATCGCAGGCTGCAATACACAGCATCCGGCGCTGACTCCTGACATGTCACGACAGCTAATTGAGAAGGCGACTGCGAGCGTATTTTCTCTGTCATTTGACGAGAGAAGCGCGCTGATTGCATATTGGATTGCTGAAGCTCAAGGCAACAAGGTCGGTGAGCTCTTTCAGGTCGTTGACAGTGCAGCAAAGACTCAACACCAATTGAAGAACGTACACGAAGAGTGCAATCGACGGGTCTTAGAGGGAGCGGACGTCATTGGAGTCACTACATCCGGCTTAGCAAAGCGCATATCGGTTCTTCAGCAGGTGAAATGTAAAGTTATCATTTGCGAGGAAGCTGGAGAGGTCATGGAGAGCCACATGATTTCTGCACTGCTTCCCGACGTTGAGCACCTGATCCAGATCGGCGACCACGAGCAACTTCGACCTTCCGTCACCAACTTCCGCGATCTGTCGCTCGAGAGCGAGCGAGGAAAGCTTCATGCACTCGATAGGAGCCAATTTGAGCGACTCTCAATCGGTGAGCCCGGGCGGTCTTTAATGCCTGTTGCTCAGCTGAATGTACAACGTCGAATGCGCCCGCAGATTTCTTCGCTGATTCGGGAAACCATCTACGATAAACTCAAGGACCATTCATCAACCATCGACCTACCTGATGTGGTCGGCATGCGCCGCAACGTCTTCTGGCTTGATCACACCAATCTCGAAAACGAGAAGGACACGGATATGCACAACACCAAATCGAAGTCCAATCTATGGGAAGTCGAGATGGTGCGTGCTTTGGTCAGGCATATCGTTCGGCAGGGCGTCTATAAATCAGATGACATCGCCGTGTTGACGCCATATACCGGCCAACTTCAAAAGCTACGCGCCGCTATGAGCAGTGAATACGAGATCTGTCTCAGTGATCGCGACCGAGAGGCGCTAGAGAGAGACGGGTTTGTGGTGGATGGCGAGATCATTCCGGAGGCCGCAGTACCCGCTCACGAGAGTTACCAAGGAAAGCCGCTACGGAAGAAACAACTTTCCGAGCTTCTGAGAGTCGCCACAGTCGACAATTTCCAAGGAGAAGAAGCGAAGATTGTCATTGTTTCCCTTGTTCGAAGCAATGAGAAGCGAAACGTCGGCTTTCTCAAAACCACAAATCGGATCAACGTCTTGCTGAGTCGCGCTCAGCATGGCATGTATCTCATTGGGAATGCAGAGACGTACTCCAGTGTCGAGATGTGGCAGAAGGTTATCGGCATGCTACGTGCGGCAGATTCAATGGGCATGAGTTTGGCTTTGCGTTGCCCTCGACATCCCGGTACCGACGCTGAAGTACAGCAGCCCGATGACTTCCTCCAGCTGAGCCCTGAGGGTGGTTGTAGGGAAGCGTGCGCCGATCGCCTCGACTGCGGCCATCAGTGTGTGTCCCGGTGCCACTCGGAAGCTATGCATGCGGTCTTCCTTTGCGAGCAGCCGTGTCAACGCCGCCATCAGCCATGTGACCACGCATGCCAGAAAGATACCTGTGGAGAATCTTGTGGCAAGTGTATGATCTTGAAGGATGATGTGCAGCTTCCATGCGGTCATGTCAAGCACAGCGTCGCCTGTCATCGGACCCAGAATCTCGGCAGCATATCCTGCGATGTCAAGGTTTCGAAGCGTGTCCCTAACTGCGGGCACGATGTACTTGTGAAGTGCTCAGTGGACGTATCTCGAAAAGGCTTCATCTGCCCTACGCCATGCACCACATCTCTATCTTGCGGCCATCCATGCCCTGGAATATGCGGTCAATGCAAGACCAAAGATAGATATGGAGGATCAATTACCAAGCACGCCGCCTGCAGTAAGACTTGCGGTAGAAAGCATGGAACCTGCAACCACAATTGCAGTCGCCGATGTCACTCTGGTACGGATTGCGGTCTATGTCAGGAGGCTTGTGAAGTAAGTGCCACTCATACATCGTCGAACACTGTGCTAATCTCATTCAGGTACGTTGCAAGCATACGCGGTGTCCACAGAGGTGCCATGAGCCTTGTGCCCCATGTGTTGAGACGTGCGCATGGTCCTGCGAGCACCAAGGCGATTGCAAGATGCCGTGCTCGGCCCCATGCAACCGCTTACCCTGCGACGAGCGCTGCACGAAGCTTCTCCCATGCCGTCACCAATGTCCGAGCATTTGCGGTGAAGTATGCCCGGTCGATTATTGTCAAGAGTGTGGCATGAAGCCGGAGGAAGAGCCAGACTTGATCATGGGGTCTCGTTATGCTGAAATCGACCTGGATCAATCGCCCATAGTCGTTCTCGGCTGCGGTCACTTCTTCACCACCGAGACTCTGGACGGACTCGTCGGCCTCAAAGACGTGTACAGCGTCGACGCGAAGACGGATGCCTTTACCGGACTGATCGAGAACGGCGAGCTTTCCGCATCTATCCCTCAGTGCCCGCACTGTCGAGAGCCTATCAGGCAGTACGTCACTCAACGCTACAACCGCCTTATCAATCGAGCGGTCATCGACGAGATGTCGAAACGTTTCATCGTGAATGGTCAGCAGGATCTACGGGAGCTAGAAGGCCAAGTTGACAAACTTGCAAAAGAACTTGAAGACTCACGATATTCGATTATTCCGACAGCACCAATGCAGGCTCGCGGTGAGATGCCTGTCGATATGATCATGCAGTTCATCAACCACGGAATCGAAGAACGTTCCAAGGAGAACAACAAACTGTTGAATGAAGTTAAAGCATTTCGTCGTAGGGTGGATATTCGACATCAGCCAACGTACAAGCTACATCAGGCAACCCTTCATAATGTAGCCAAAGATGAGTCGCTGGATGTAGATTTCGCGAAGTTGGCGATGGACTCTTCCATGGAGTCTGCCAAGCGCGATCGCGATCAACGTATTACTCTCGGAGGTAGCCTGCTTGAAATCAAGGTGCGCTGCCTGCTGCTTGAGGATAGCTTCGAGATCATGCGTGCCGTAGGTCAGAAGCACCTCATGAGTACGTTGCCTCTTACCTTTCCAAGTGGCCTTCCAATCGCAAGGACGGAGCCATTCCTCTTGGACACAAGGAAGCTCATCGACGACTGCACACAGGAGAGTCTGCCCAAACTTGCGGTTGAGGCTACATTGTACTTCGCCCGTATCGCCCAGTCCTTCGGTAGTGCTCAGTCTGGTCAGAGCAACGATCGCGCAAAAGCTATGAGCTACCGCAACATCGCCAAAGGCTTGTTGGCGAAGGCAGACGAGCTGTGTGAGAACTCTTTCCGGGATCGGGATACCCTGCGCCAAGCCATCATCGCTACATTGACGATGCTAAACAAGGAATTCTACGAGACGATATCGAAAGAGGAACTGGAGTCTATCAAGAAGGCCATGGTCAGTGGACGTGGCGGTATCGCGACTCATTCTGGGCATTGGTACAAGTGTGTGAACGGCCATCCAGTAAGTTTCTCCTCTCCGATCTGAAATATCATGATCTAACACAGTGCAGTTCGCTATTGGAGAATGCGGTATGCCCATGCAGCAAGCGCGCTGTCCGGAATGCGGTCAGCCCGTTGGTGGCCAGAACCATACTGCCGTCGCTGGAGTATCACGCGCCAGGGAGATGGAGGATTAAGGAAAGATGGATTGGCGCTTCGGTGATATTGCGAAGCTATGTGCATCGTTCCAGCCTCATCTAGAAAGTTCTGTCGGTAGATGAGTGCCGTAGATCTCGATTATCTTCGCCCAAGCTCTTGAGATGTAGCTGTATACGCTATCACAATGCATCAGCATTTCTGAGAACGTACTATCGTTCAAGATGTTGTTCGTGAATCGCGTTGTGAGTGAAACGATAGTACGTAACGTAATAGGGCGAGATAGCGAGACCCGCGCTTTATCTTTGACCCGGACTACTAACAGTCCTCATCGGCTTCGACCAGATCCAGTCCTGCGCCGCGGGCGAGAGCATGTGAAGATAACCGCCAGCCGTTGTTTGACGGTGGAATGACCAAAAGAACATGTGTTCCGTTATAAACGAAATGTGTCATGCAGATCAACCATGATGGCCAAACTCACGATGTCTCGATGGCAGATGGGAAAACGGCGCTTGGTGTTCTGCTATCTGGGCAGTAGTGCCGAATTGCCGGCGACTAATTGCGATGTGCAGTGTCGCTTGTCAGTTTTCAGTTTGGCAATCCTCCCTTGGCATATCGCATCGAAGTATGGGATTTGCGATATTTCATATACGTCGTACCTAGAGACATACCTCCGCGCTGAATCCGTGAGCGCGCTCATGACGCAGCGCAGGCCACGCACGCGATAAAACGAGGCTGCGAAGAACACGATATGCACCTCATCCGTCCCTGCAGCACACGAATTGAGGCCATGTGGGCTGCCCTGGAGACGGCAGCGCGAACCCCTGCCATGCTTAAAAAGTGGAAATTTGACCCTTCCACTAGCGATGTCGTCGGGCACTCTGATTGGCCTAATCAGAAGCTTCTCCGCGCTTCAAGGAGATGAGACACCTTGCCCTGAGCGCCGCCAACCGCCATCGCACGCCGGCGACTCCATCGCGTGATCACGATCTCGCCGTGTTTGGAGTTGTCATGGCCGTCCAGCGGGCGAACAAACGGGGTGCTTGCAAAAGGAAAAACCATAAACTGTCAAACGTCGCAAGAAAACTGGAGGGCCCCAACCAAACAGAAACAGCACAGCATAAAGGAGTTACCGCGATCAGCGAATCACTTTCGCTTGCGCTGCCAATATCCCCATTCCAATTACCATTTTGCGGTCGCCCGCCTCAGGCCCCGTCACAAGATTGGTGTAGTAATCTTATTTTTTCCCCATCCGTTAGCCGCTTTTCCCACTGGCCCCCGTTCCCCCAAGGGGACAACCACACAGGCGAGCAAACCTATCGTGAAGGGAGCGCGCGTGAGCCCTGTGCCCATAGTTTCAAATACAGCCGGGGATCCTCCCTTTGCTCATCTCTCGCTCTCACTTCGTTACCGCAAACCTTTACGCTCATTACCAGTTTTTTGCTCGCTCCCTGCAGTTTTTTTACTGTCAGTCAGACTGTCTGTTCAACGCGTCGTCATCAAGAAGCAGACTTTCTCCACACTCTCTTATTAAACTCAACGTTCTGTCGGTCCGTTGCTGTCCAACAACGTCATACGAAGCCCTGAACACACTCGCTGTAATTACGATCATTCAACACGAGACAAGACTATCAAGATGAAGTACAACACTATCACGTTGGCGTTGGGTGCGCTTGCTATGGGCGTGACCGCTCAGGGTGTTGCGTAAGTTTGCCCTCCCTGTTCTCCACATCTTTTCTGCCTCACCCGCAAACGCGACGCGACTTCCACGCGGCTTACCCGCCATAATCATCATGACTACAATGTAGATCCATGCTAACATGCTTGGTGACGTAGGCCCGAAGTCCAGTCGTCCGTCCTCATGGAGCTCGCGCAGGCGATCCCTTCCGACCAAGTCGCCTATGCGATCGCCTCGTCGTCTGCGTTCGCCGCTGAGATGGCATCTTCGCTCGTTGCGGGCAACACACCAGCCTGGTACCAGGCGCTGCCTACCGACGTCCAGAGCCTGCTGCCCGAGATCTACCCGGCCATGGTCACACCTACACCTACTCCTACTCCTACGCCATCATCGTCGTCGTCGAGCGCGTACGTCGCGAAGAGCAGCAGTGTTGTTGAGACATCCAGCTCTGCCATGGTTACTCCCTACCCCACTGGAAGCAACAGCACCATGGCCATGCCCACTATGAGCGCCACCGGCAGCGTCACCGTCTCGCTCAGCCCCAGCCCCAGCGGCAGTGCCTCGCCCTCCCCAGAAACCCCTCCTTTCGAGGGTGCAGCTTCCAAGATGTCCGTCGGCGCCGGTCTCGGTGCTGCGGTCATGCTTGCCATGCTCGCTTTGTAGACATACCTTGTGGCGTGTCTATGAACTTTGCTACTGTTACCTTCGTAGCACTGGACCGCTGAGCATGGGTAGCGGCTGGTTGCTCCTTTCTTCACTCTAACGTTTCTTTACGACGCGATGCTCTTATCCTTTCTTGGGGAAAATGATTCGCAATATACCTTTTTGACTTTTTTGTTGCTTGACGAGGGGAGGGGAGGAATGGCAGGGTGGATTGATGCATATTTATGCGGTGGCTTCTCCGGCTGGGATTATTGTAGGTGTCTGGTTTGGTGGTTTCAAGGACGTGGCTGTGGATGTGGCCGGATGGTTGATGGATGTTGGGTAGATAGTAATCCGTAGTAGCTTAATATTTAATCAGTCGACGCAGAAAGATGGGAAAGACCCAGCCCAATGTATGCCTGAGGGTGATGAGACGTTCAAGGTGAAACGGTCTAGTTATATAACGTTCGAGCACGTCCGTGGGGGGAGGGGGCTTGTAAGCAACACGCGTCTTCCTCGTGTTGGGCTGAACCTAGACCCACGCCGTTTCCCTACACTGACCCACAGTTGGCACTGACGGAATCGACGTCAGCTTGTTACGAAAATAGAACGATGGGTTGAGAGTGCATGAGGGTGGGAGACTGATGTCTGTTGTGGCTGGTTTTTGGGCGCTACATCTGGTGTGTGATGGTGTTGGAAGCTGCTATGCATATGTTACTCTCGGCCTGGAGTGCGACAGCAGTAGTAGCTGAAGGGAGTCTAGGTTTATGACTTGGGCTGGGATGACGATGGTAATGTGATTCTGGTATCTTGAAACATGTGTAATCTGCGAAATCTCCGCATATACAACACAGATTACACTTCGCAATCGGCGCAGAGCCGGTACCCAAGACTGGGTCAAGACATGCCCGCAGACCGAATAGCCCTCTTGGCTGCACGTAAGTCAGTGACTCCACACGTATGCATATCTATGCCAACTTCCATAGCCTCAGGGTCTCTTGTTACTTACTACCAACACCATCTCACTCCCTCACTCCCCACACATCTGCTCCAAATATCTACCCTATTACCATCCCCTCCCCCATCAGAACCTGGTGGCCACCAGAGACGTGTGGTCTAATGGCAAGGCACCCACGACCCTATCCGTTAGCTGCAGCTCTCGGATTAGGGAGTCACTGGTCATCTCGAATCGCGAAGTTGCAATTGTAGTGGGAGACTGTACGTTCGAGTCGTACCGCGTCGTTTTTATTGTTTGTCAGTTGTGGATGGGTGAGATAAGAAGGTGTCTGGAAGAGTGAGGGAGACTTCGTGACATCTTTTTGGGAGTATGCTTGAACTTAAGGTTTGCCATATCTAGATAGCATTCGTTGAATCGAAACATGGCAATTGAAGCCTAGTATCCGGAGCCAAATAACAAACAGCGCCTGATCACCGTTCATGAGACAGTTGCTCTTCTTCATTCGAGTTCTCTCACCGCTCTCATACACTGCCATGCTACTATACCTACCGCCTAGATCAGCAAACCTCTAACAATCACCACCCAAGGACACGTAGCTCAACGGTAGAGCGCCTACACCATACGTTTCACGTCGAAGAGGCTTTAAGTAGCCCCATGCCTCTGGTATGGAGCCTCTTGTTAGATCCGGAGTCCCCCGGATCCAGCAAGAGGTTCAGGGTGGAGTGGGAGATCGACGTTCGAATCGTCGCGAGTCCAGCTATTTGCCTTTTTTTGTTATTGATGTAATGCTGCCCTATATAGGATCCGTAGAGTCTTGGAGAGAAGGTAAGAGAAAGTAGGAAGCCAAGATTGTGGTGAGTGAGATACATTTTAGTATAGGTTTGAATACCTACATATCTACATATCCAATCCTACCAAATGTAGGAATTCCAATCTCCATCTCTTTCTAAACCAGAATGAAACTCGTAATTACCATTAAAGAGCCCCATGAGTAGGGGCATATGCAGGTCATAATCGTAAAGTCCCTCTCATCCGCAATCATATTGCAGAACCCTCCAGGAACAACTGATCATGACGCTCATCGAAGGCGTGTAGGTATCATCATCTAAAGCGCGAGCAAAACAACAACAACAGAAATCCAGCCGTGATATCATCGTCCGAACAGCGGGAAACAGAAAACAAAAACGAAAAGATGAACAAACAGGTAACCTCCGGGTATGTACGCGCAGATGTCACAAATAGGCCGAGGCCTAGTTCAGCACGGTATCCTCGTCCGAGTACCGCGCGGGGTAGTTGTAACGCAACAACAAAATAGTGAACGATCAAGGAAATTCGTGATAAGCGCTTAGAAGTACGTGTCGACAACGTCGCGTCCACCACGAATAGCCCACTCGACAATTTCCATGCCGCTGAGTCCACTCGCGTAGTACGTCTTCTTCTGGCCCTGCAGCTTATTCAGCTTGGCATACGCGCCATTGGACAGCGCATCGCCCTCGAAATGCGGGAAGTAATCCCACTTCTTGAAGGCCTTGACGTCGTCTTCGCAGAAGGGCTGCGATGGCTCCGTGGCATTGCGCGGGTCCTTGTTAACCTTGGATAAGCTGTCGATGAGGAGGTTCTCGGCTGCGGCTTCGGTTTGGAAGTCGTATGGGCCCCAGGACCAGGCTACGGAGACGTTGGACTCCTTGCTTAGGTGGAGGACGGCTACGGGCTCGCCGTCGTTCGGTGGCGGGACTGTCTCGTCGGTGCTGTTGGCGATGTAGGAGACGCCGAAGGGGAGTTCGAGCTCTACGGCGGAAGAGTAGTATTGGTGGGTTGTGATGTTGTTGAAGGTGTCGTGCTCCTGCTCTGTCATGTCTACACCTACGCGCTCGAGGTTCTCGATGCTTGGCGGGAATGCGAAGATGACGGATGAGCACTCTTGCTTCTCCCAGGAGACGTAGCTGCCGTTCTTCATAGGTGTAGTGTAAGACACAATAGGGTGGTCGCCGGACCGGTCGACGCAACGGACTTCCGAAGAAGTGTGAATGGGCGTCTTGCACAGCTGGTTCTTGGCGTACTCGACAAACATCTTGTGGAAGTCCATGTAGTACACGCTGTGTAAGCCGATAAAGGCCGTGAGGATATCCGGGGTGAAGTACTGCAGTATGTACAGCTAATCACACGTTAGCGTCCTGCATGCGCGATCCCTGCAAGAATTTTCTGGAGAATGATGACGTACTGCTGGGACAATGTTGATATCGCCATAACCGTAGAGCGCGACGGGGTTCACGAGCAAAATAGGCAGCGCGGTGAAGTTGTTCTGGCGGAACCATTCTGCGCCGGATACGGTGAATTCGTCTGGTACACCATTCTGTTCCTGCATTAGCCTACCCGGTTTTGTGCAACGGCGCACCACAACGGGTGTCGTACCTTGTAGTTCACGACACTAATCGGTCGGAAGCGCTGCGTCCACAGCTGAATGTACCTCGGAATTTCTGCAGATACCTGCGCGGTGAACTGCGGGGTCAGGGCGGGGTTGACCATGATGTCGCCGTTGGTGTAATTGTAGCGGTACATTTCGCGCGCGCCGGCAAGCGCAAACGGCTCGATCGAGACATTGGTCTGGTTGAGGATGTCGATGGTGTTCGGGTACGACGCATTGGAGAGGAAGGCGGCGCCGAGTGGGTGGAAGATGCCTCTGGAAGGGTGGTCAGCCGCGCCTAATGCGCTTGGAGGCGGACGCTGTGTAACACTTACTGGTCATCATACCAAGCCTGGCATTTACCACCAACTTCATCTTGACGGTCGAACATGACTGCCTTGATGCCCTTCGCTTCTAACCGGCCGGCAGCAGCTAGGCCGGCAGGGCCCGCGCCAATGATGCATACTGGGTGTTCCTCGCAATTGCAACGTTGACCTTTGGGGAGGGCTGTGACGGTGAGCGAGGAAAGCGCGAGCAGTGGTAGCACTAGCGACGACCACATTCTGGCGGGATGGAAGTGAATTGTTTGGAGAGAACAATGGGGACAGCGAATGCTTTACGGAAGGGATGAGGTACCTACTGCTTATAATAGCAAGCGACGCGATTGCAGGTCCCTGCGTGCCTTTGGGCACTTTTGACTTCGTTTGTACAGGCGAAGGAAGGCATAGCTGGGGCAGGCGCTGCACGGTGCGTTGGCATTAAACGGGAAGGGGCCAGGCTAGCATGCTTTCTCGAAGCCAGATGGGCGATTCGCAAGCCTCATCAGGCCTAAAGGAGCATCAATGAGGTAAGTTTGAACGGCAACGGTCGTGCGGCGGAGCACTGAGCGCCGCTGTGACGTTTGAGACGAGGGTCTGCTACCGGAGCGTTGATTTTTTATTAATCTTTACCCCTGGCATATCTGTAGTCCAGGTAACCGCCAGCAATGAGAGCGCTGCTGCTATTCACAGCTTCAATTGCCGCTGAGTTGTGCCTCCTTGATGCGTCGCATGTTCGCAATCGCTAAATCCACACTGCAGGCGCTAGAAGCGGTGAACAGCTGTCTGCAGACATCATGCTGCAGCTGTATGCAGCCTGTCGCTGGTGCCAGTGGATTGGTGCCGAGGTTTGGCCTTCAGCCCTGTCGCTAGCCTCCAAGCCACCGTTTGAGGCCCAGCCGCCCAAATACTCGGGAGTGGTTCCTGACTCTTGAAAAAGCTCCTATGCCCGACAATATCGCAAATGCGCTCGTTGTATGAGACGCCAATTCCGGCATTGCGACATCGCGACAAGGTCATGATTCGGTATCTGACGTCCGCTGCGCCGTATGCCCGTATACATTGCGGCGTGGACGTCATCCCGTGCCGGAACATCGCTGCGTTGGCCTTTCCGCGAGCCTGACAACTCACCGTCCAGCTCTGGGCGGAAACATGTTCAAGCCTCCACTGGATGGAAATTGCAGCTGCGATGGAAGGTTGCGTAGAGCAGAGGTAAGTTGGCAGAATGACGACATGCTCGCTGCACAGACCGACCGCCAGCCCAATTTCACGAGGTTGAAGCGACAAACTCAGGGTCCAGCTGGGATAGAAGAAAAGCAAAGTTCTGCCGTCGCACCATGCT